TGGGATGGGCTTAAGAGATCCTTCCTAGCCTGGGATTTCAGTGTGCTGCCTTGATATGTCATGGCCAAGCATATGCTGAAAAGTCTTGTTCGCGAAGCCATTAATCCATTCGCAAGCATTTTGTATACAGCTGACCTAGATTCTGAATAGCACCGGGGACCCAGATTTGTGAGGATTTGCATTGTGTGTGTCTGTCTGTCTGTCTTCTGTTGGGGTGGTGGGAACCTGGTAGGAGCAGTTACATTTTTTTTTTTTTTTTTTTCATTTCACTGCACAGCAATTGCTACCCTTGGTACCAGGGACCCTTTTGAGTGACAGATGAGGGAGAACTCAGGAGAAGCTTCTGCATCAGCAGTAAAGAGATAAATCCCTAAACAGCACAGGACAGCCCCAGCACGCAAGGTGGTGGACGCATACAAGGAAAGGGCAGTTTGCAGTCACACACACACACAAAGAAATGTCAAAGAAAAGGCAGAAGATGGCCCACTTCACTCAAAATCTGAGAAATGTGTGCAGACAAAACCAATGCCAAGTACTGTGTCTGCCCACTGGCTATTGTCGTAATGCAGACCCCCCTCACTCGGCCATGAACTGTAAGTTGAGAGCTGAGTCTATATCGACTAGGACTCAGATGCTCTCTCAAGCCTGAGGCGGTAGACGGGTTGCCCCCATCACACGCAGATAACCCCCGACCCTCCCATCACCACGCGTGACCCCAGCCCCTCGAGGTCCCTTCCTCTGTTGGCCAAAGGCATGAGAGCCGGTGAGTATAGCAGGGCCCGGACGCTTTAGGAGCCCCCTGCGGTGTCCCTTGCTCACCTCCTCCTGTGACCCAGTTCGCTCTCGACCAGGGAGTCAGCCTGGGTCCCAGAACTGTGACACCACACGGAGAACCCAGTGTACGCTGTTTACCAGGATGACGTGACATTAGCAAGAAATAAGCTTTCATTTTTTAAGCACTGAAGGTAGGGGCTCTGTGGGCTTGGACCCTGAAGCTGGTTTAGTGAAAGCGACCATAAAACCTTTCAACACGCAGTCGCAGTGCTGGTAGCTAGCTTAACTGACTTGCCCTCTGCCCACGCCAAGCAAAGATAATGAAGCGAGAGTTTTCAGCGCCAGCTTATGGTAACGGCTAAGAACAAAAGGAAACAGCCTAAATTTCCACAGCAGGAAGGCACCAAATAAATTGTAGTATGTATACATTGTTAATTGGTATCATATAATATATATTATATATAAATTTATACATATAATATAAATTTCATGTATACAATTTATATACATCATTTATATATAAATTATATATACACGATATATATCCATGTTGAATACTATACATCTGTTACAGCTTTCAAAATTACTTACATAATTGTACATTGCGTATTTACCACAGTGGCCAACGCACCATGCTCCCAGGCAAGTTTATTTTTTTTCATGTTCATTCACCGCCAGCAATGACTATTCATTTCATGCGCCTCCAACCTTCCCGTGAATGCGCTTGATTTAAGCCGCCTGCCTGCCAGGGGTTGCTGGGCCACTGTTGCTCAGGCACAGGTGTTGGGTGAGAAGGACCTCCTACTTAATTCTCACGGGTGTGTGCAGGGTGTGCAACGGTGCTTGCAAGACGCCCCGCCGCGGGAGATGTAGGTCAGATGGCAATCGAAAACAATTTCTCACGGCTGTGCCGACCCAAACAATTGCTCACCAGAAAAAAAAGCTGCGTTCGCTTGGTCTCATCTCCAGATGTTGGGCTGCCGATGTATGTGACATGAGATTGTGGCACAGACCATGTGACAAAAAAAATGTCTTTTAATTTTTTTTAATGCTTATTTACTTTGAGAGAGAGAGAGACAGAATGCCAGCAGGGAGGAGCAGAGAGAGAAGGAGACACAGAATCCTAAGCAGACTCCAGGCTCCGAAGCTGTCAGCACAGAGCCCAGTGTGGGGCCTGAACCCACAAACTGACCGTGACCTGAGCCAAGTCTGGACGGTAACCCACTGAGCCCCCCAGGCTAAAAGTATCTTTAAGTGAAAGCGGGAGGATGATGGGCAGCTCACCTCAAGGTAATGCTACCTCTTGGGAAGGGAGCAGGCTGAGATCAGGGAAGGGTGGACAGGTGCCCTCAAGCCCATGTTTTATTTAAAAACAAAGACAAGGGGCTTGGGTGGCGAAATGTTGCTGGCCACTTCAGCCAGGTCACGCATCTCGCTGTCCTGTGAGTTCTGAGGCCCGCTGTCACTTGGGTCGATGGCTCAGAGCCTGGAGCCTGCTTCCTGGTGTCCTCCTCTCTCTGCCCCTCCCTCAGTTCTCATGCTTCCTGTCTCTCTCTCTGTCCCAAAAAAATAAATAAAAACGTTAAAAAAAAAAATTTTAAAAACAAAGACAAAAACAAAACACTGAGGCAATAGGGTTCAGCCTTAAGATTTGAGAAAAGCTGCTGGTT